AAAAGACCATGTCTAAAAAATGTCTTTCTTAGGCAGGCGTGGTGGCACATTCTTTTAATCCCAGCACTGGTGAGGCAGAGGCAGATGGATCTCTGTGAGTTTGTGACCAGCCTGTTCCAGGATAGCCAGGGCTACAAAGAGAAATACTGTTTCAAACAAAACAAAACAGAGTCTTTCTCTAAGGTGAGCCACAGCTCTGTGCTTATCCATGGAACTCTAGATGTTTCCTTCTGCTAGGATTAAGAAAAACTGAGCTCATGCACCCCTCTACAGTCAACTCTGTTGACTTTTTCTTCATCCAAATTAAGAGATTAGGATGTTTTCCCACATTTAATGTGCCGAGGAGTCACAGGTGATACTGACTGTACCTGCCACACCCAAACCCTGTAATCTCTAGCACTCATGGTTCTGACTATGAAAGTGAGAGCAACCTCCTGCTTTGCTTAGACATGAATGCAGCTGGCAAGTGTCTGGGCATGGAAGGCAGGAGTTAATCAAATGGACAAGCCCATCAGAGGCTCCTCGGCTCTACTTCAGTGTTCTCAGTTCTTATGCCTTTCAGTGGGGGAAGTCTACTCTGCTGGTGGTTACACAACTAGCAATCTGAAGTCATTCTTGGTGGAGGATAGGTATGTTATGAGCAAGGGATGAAGGGTAACACCAATGCAGTCCTTGGCTCATGAAATCCCATTAGCCTTTTTGCCTTTGAATAAAGAAACCTCAGGTATTATTATTATTGTTATTATCATTACATCTTATTTTGTTGGGAGAAGGGCACATTCATGCCATGGCCAATGTATGTCAGAAGACAGCTTGCAGGAGTTGGTTCTCCCTTTCCACCATGTGGATTTCATAAATTGAACTCAGGTTATTAGACTCAGCGGCAAATACCCTTACACATTGAACTGTCTCCCTAGCCCACAGCAGATAATTTTGATTACTGCCCCATTCATTCCTTTCCTTTTCCCTCTCATTGCACAGTAAGAAAACAACCAAGTTTCCTTTAATAACATCCTTCCTTTTTCTGCAGGTAAACCAGAACCCCTGGTGTTCCACATTCCTCAGTCCTTTTTTGATGCCTTGCAACAGAGAATATCCATAGGAAGTGCAAAAAAGCGGCTCCCCAACTCCACCACAGGTGCGGAGTCTCCCTAGGAAGAGTAGTAACAATTGTGTGGAAAAATCTACAAGGGACTTCAGGGTTAGCACGTCTGGGTGTGTCACTGGAGCATGAAACCTGCAGTAACTAGCTCTTAGAACAGTGGCCAACCCTCCAAAAGCAGATACTTTCCCCAGTAAGTGCGAATGGAAACATTCAGGAAATGTAAACCTCATAAAAGACCAGCAAGGACTGTTTGATACTTCTAGGTGTGCTACAGTTTCCACAAAAACATTGAAGGCCTAGTGGCCAAAAACCTAAAGGAGTATTAATAAATATGTCATCAGTATGCAAATGGAACTGAGGTTCCCCTCTCCCAAACACGATTGCTTACCAGCATCTTTGAGAGCATTTGTGTCAAACTGACAGAAGTCCAGAGGGGAGCTCTCTAAAACCTGGTCTGGAGGAAACTTTTCCAGTAGAACATTAAGAATATAATTCTGCCAGGTGGTGGTGGCGCACACCTTTAATCCCATCACTTGTGAGGCAGAGGCAGGTGGATCTCTGTGAGTTTGAGGCCAGCCTGGTCTATAAAGTGAGTTCCAGAACAGCCTGGGCTATTAGACAGGGAAACCCTGTCTTGAAAAACAAAATTATAGAATAAAATAAATAACTAATATAGTTCCAACCTGGTATCTTTCATCACAGCACTCAGGAGGCAGAGGCAGGCTGATCTCAAAGCAAGTTCCAGGACAGTCCAGGCTACTGGAAACTCTGCCTCCCCCCCCCAAAAAAAAACCCACAAAAATAAATAAAAATAGAATATAATTCCTTAGCAAATACTGTTAGAATGAGCCTCCACCAGTAAGATTAGGACTTCAGAAAGTTGCTGTAGGAAAACAACAGCAACTAAAAACCCAAAAACCATGTGTTAGTTACTGTTCTGGTTGCTGTGTCAAAATATCCCAAGAATGCAACTTAGTAGAGAAAGATTTATTTTGGCTCATGATGAGGAATTGATGGCAGCAGGAGGAAGCAGCTGGCCACATGGCATCCCCAGAAAGCAGGGAGAAATGAACGCTGATGCTCAGCTTGGTCTCTCCTTCTTACTCTGTCTAGGACCCTAACCCACAGAATGGCACCATCCATATTTAGATGCGGTCCTCCCACCTCGGTTAATCTATAACTCCCTGAAAAACACACTCAGAGGCTGTTTCCATGGTGATTTTTAAATCCCATCAAGTTGACAGTATTAACAGTCATAAGACCACGTGTTGGTAACTTGACACAAAGCACATCACTCTAAACCTTGATATTCACCCCTGGTTTCCATAGGTACATGGCCCTCTTATTATACAGAATACATCCAGTTCAACGTCCTAAGTTCACATAGGCTCTAACATTTCCAGTGGGTCTCATCTGACTCGTCAGGCTTGTGACCAGCTATTAATGGGAACCAAGTTAGATCTATTATTACATAGTAGCATGGAATCCCTGTGGGATGGGGCATATCCATTTGGGGCACACCCCAAAATGGGAAAATTGGGGCACAGCAAGGAATAATTGGATAAAAGCAGGACCAAACCCCATCAGGGCAACACGAAATCCTATACTCTCATGTTGGGTATCTGGAGTTCCAAAGGGCCTGGGGAGCCCCACCCCCACCAGCTCTATTGCCTCCCTCTTGAGACAACTCCACTCCACGTCTTTCCACCAGAAATGTTTCATGGTCCTGCTCTCATCAACATCCTGGGTTCTCCATTGCAGCTTGGGCTTTACCTTCACACCTGTACCCAGTAGCCTCTCAGGAACACCACCCATGCCAACTTTGCCTTCGGTGGCTCTCTGGAACCAGAGCACAAGACTCCATGGCTTCTTCTGTCTTTCATTTTTAATGCCTGCAAAACCAATACCTTGTGGACAGTACTGCCGACTTATGATGGGCCTGGCCTCCTTTAACCTCAGCTGCAGTGGCTATTGTGTGCCGACTCTGGGGAACACTCTCTAGGCAATCGTTTCGAGAGTGGACCCTTTCTATGGCACCTTCAGCTTAGACTGTTCTTTCTAGTGAATCTGCACTTTCGCAAGGTGGAGACTTTGTTATTTGTGGTCTTGCCCGTAAGACCCCTTTACTGTTGTCCCAGAGCAGAGTGCCATGTTTGTTTTCAGTGGCTCTAACCCAAGTTACAGCTGCTTTCAATCCTGCACTATCTCTAAAGTTAAACTTGCTCATGCTCTTTTTCCTTGACGACCTGCACATTTTTCATTTATTTTCTGCTCCTTTTTCGTACTTTCTCCCTGGGGACCTGCATAAGCAGTAAGCGGAAGCCATGCTATATGGTCAGATTGCCAGCCTGTCTGGAGATAACTAGTAGTCCATTCCTTTTGAATCCAGCCTCACTCAAGCTCACGGGACACAAGCAAAATATAGGCAGTTTCTTTGCTTGATATATAACATGAATGCCTAACTGGCCCAGTTCCTGATAGAGTCTTCTTTCATCCCTGAAAGCACATGGTGCAGGCCTCTCCTGGCACTCGGGACTCCCACAGTCCCCACCAGAATGGCCCATCAAGCCCTGCTTACAGCACTCCAGGGCTTCTCTAGCCCACAGAGCCAAACTCCCACTTTCCTCCAATAAACCAATCCAGAGGCCCATGGACCACATAGGTTTATCAAATCAACAACCTTGACTCTTAATATTTCTGTATTAGTTACTTGTTGCTGTGATTACACTCTGAAAGGAAGTAATTTAAGAAAGGAAGGTTTGGGGCCAGAAAAATGGCTCAGTGGTTTTGGGAGCATTGGCTGCTTTCCAGAGGTCCTGAATTCAATTCCCAGCAACCACATGGTCGCTCACAGCCATCTGTAATGAGATCTGGAGCCCTCTTATGGCCTACAGGCATACATGCAGACACGATAGAACACCATATACATAATAAACAAATTTTTAAAAAAAGGTTTTTGGCAAGGCAGTGGTGGGCGGATCTCTTTGAGACCAGCCTGGTCTACAGAGCAGATTCCAGGACAGCCGGTGACACTCAGAGAAACTACCTTGAAAAACAACCAAAAAAAAAAAAAAAAAAAGAAAGAAAGAAAAGAAAAGAAAGGAAAAGGAGTTTATTTTTGCTTCTCATTTGAGGGGTTGCAGTCACTATGGTAGAGAAGGCATGGCACCAGGAAAATGAGGCAGCAGGTCACACTGGCTGCAGCTAGGAAACAGGTTAATCCTGGTACTTAGCTTGCATCCCCCTTTCTATTCAGTTTGGGACCCTGTCTTAGTTAGGGTTTCTGTGGCTGTGAAGAGACACCATGACCACTGCAGCTCTTATAAGGAAAACACTTAATTGGTACGTCATTATCACCATGGTGGGACGTGATAATGTACAGGCAGACATGGTGCTGGAGAAGGAGTTGAGAGTTCTGCATCTTGAACCACAGGCAGCAAAAGGAGTCAATACTGGGTGTAGCTTGAGCATAAGAGACCTCCAAGCCTGCACCTACAGTGACACTTTTTCCAATAAGGTCACACCTCCTAATAGTGCCATTCCCTATGAGCTTATGGGGGCCAGTTACATTCAAAGTACCACATGTGCCAACCCATAGAGTGATGCCACCCACAGTTAGGGTGAATCGTCCCCCCTCGGCATAATTTAGAAACTGCCTTATACACCTACCTGGAGATTTGTGTTCTTTTGTTGGTTCTAAATCCAAAGAAGTTGACCTTCAAAATTAGCCATTATGCTAGGCACATGCTTTTAATCTCAGCATTCAGGTGACAGAGGCAGGTAGAACTCCAGGAGTGTGAGGCCAGCCTCCTAAAGATAACCAGGCCAGTCAAGAATACATACGGAAACCCGCATCTCAAAAACACCAGCAAACAAAAAGATTAACCATCACAAGTTTTTGCTTTGTGTAAGGGAGATTTTATTTTTAGAATAACTTTTTAGAAATAAAGGGGAAAATGGGTGGAGAGAGAGCCACCAGGTGGTCAGAAGCCAAAAGTGGTTACAACTGGAAAGCAAGGGTGTCTCTTCAGTAAGTTGTCATTTAGTAAGTCCATTCTTGAACAGCACAAGCAGTGAGTTCACGGCACTCTGAGACCCAGAGACCTTCGTCCTCATAGCTTATCTATCTGGTTTTGATGCTCTGAAACTAGAGGCCTTCCATACAGTAATGTTAATCCCCAGCTGTGCCGCGGGCCCTCTGGTAGAGTGGCTTTAATCCCACATGCAGGTGGTGGGCAGGCAGTCATCCTTTAAAGGACTCTGATTTGACTCATTAGATCTCATGTCATAAGAGGCTATCAGAATAGAGTGCCCTGCACATAGCTCTACCAAACATAGGAACAGTAGCGCAGGGGCCCGGGTACGTCCTAGCACTACAGAAAAGAAACATGTAAACAAGTTTCTAAGGTCTAGTGAGCACGCTGAAGAACCCACAGAGACTTCTGTCATGGAGCTCCTTCTCATTTGGTTGGTCAGTATCTGCCAGACTGTTACACACTTGCAGAACAAGTTGAATTCCAGGCCTGTGAGGAGAATGGTGCAATGCCGTGAGAGACGCTGAGTGACAGGCACCCTGAGAGGATGTCACTGTCTGGTATTGAAGTTTGTTCCTTCCTTTTCACTGCAGCTTTCGTTCGAAAAGATGCCTTGCCACTGGGGACCTTTTCCAAGTATACCTGGCATATCACTAATATTCTGCAAGTTAAACAAATTTTAGACACCCCAGAGGTAAGAGTTGATTCCTCAGGAGCTGTGCGTGTGTGCGTGTTTGTGTGCGGGTGCATACATATGCACATTTGTGGGTGAGGCTAGAGGTTCACATTAAATGTGTGTTTTTTTGTTTTTGTTTTTCGAGGCAGGGTTTCTAGTGTAGCTGGTCTGTCCTGGGACATTAGGTATCTTTTTTTTTTTTTTGCAGGTAGGGTTCAAGACAGGATTTCTCTGTGTAATAGTCCTGCCTGTCCTGGAATTCGCTCTATAGACCAGATCTCGAACTTACAGAGATCTGCTTGCCTCTGCCTCCCAAGTGCTGGGATTAAAGGTGTGCGCCCCCATTGCCCAGCTAAATGTCTTTCTTTTCTTGTTCTTTCTTTCTTCTTCTTCTTTTTTTTATCTTTATTGGTTTTTTTTAAGGCAGGGTTTCTCTGTCTAGCTGCCCAAGAAGCCCCAGGGATCCTTCCAGCTGTCTCTTCTGCCCCACCTTGTTTTTTCAATCAGTGTCTTTCTTTGGCCTTGAGTTCACCAAGTAGGTTATGCTGGCTAGCCTGTGAACTCCAGGGTTCCACGTGTCTCTGTGTCTTCAGCACTGAAATTACTATCGAGTCCCAGCACACATGGCTTTCTAGAGACAGAAGTGAAATTCAGGTCCTCCTGGTGCATGCTAAGCACTTTACTGACCGGGCCTTCTCCCCAGCTCTTGAAATTTATTTTCTCATGGAAAGGGTTGTTGAGACATAGTCTGTAGAGTTCTGTGCCTAATTTTGGTAGGGATTCATGCTTTTGGAAGTATCTTAAAGGCCAGTGAGATGCCTAAGCAGGTGGTAATCCTTTTGATCCCAGCACTAAGATGGAGGCAGGAGAATCAAAGTCATTCTGAGCTGCATATCAAGTTAGAGGCCAGCCTCAGCTGTATGAGACAATATTTAAAAAAACAAAACAAAACACAAAACACCGCCTTTGGGGTCAGAAAGCAGGATTTGGGGCCATGCATGGTGGTGAATGCCTTTAATCCAAGTACTCATGTCAAAGACCAGCTTGGTCTACATGGTGAGTTCCAGACTAATCCAAATAGCCAAGTAAGACCCTGTCTCAAAAAAACAAAAGAAAGAAAGAAAAGGCAGGATTTTCCTTATGAATTAATTAATTAATGATCTCCTGGTATCTGTGAGGACCCTAAACTTCACTGATTGACACTACAAAGGATATTAATAATAGTGAAGTCACTGGGTCCGGTGTGATTAAGTTGTCCTCCCCAGGCTGTAGTTTGACCTCTGTCTGTTGTTGTCTTCACCAGGGACACACTGGATATTTTACTGCAGCTTCCAATTTATTTATTTGCTGTGTGTGTGTGTGTGTGTGTGTGTGTGTGTGTGTGTGTGTATGATGCATGCGCGCACATGTAGAGGTCAGAAGACAGTTGGTAGCACTCGGCCCTCCTTTCACTCGGTGAGTTCTGGGGTTGCCGTCAGTTGTCGGCCTCACCAGGCCCCATTACCAACTCGGCCGGCCGTCTCACAGGCCCTACACTGTGCATCTTAAAACAGTTTGTTGAAGTAGATCTGAAATTTTGACAGCCTTTCCCATCTGACAGAAGTTGACTATTTCAGAACCCCCTGCATAGTGTGACTCTGACACATGCAGGTTAATTTAGCCAGGCTTAGAAGCTCACACTTAAAATCCCAGCATTTGGCGGGGTGGGGGGGGTGCAGGGGCTCAAAATCTGTACTTCCAGAGCTACATAGTGAGACTGTCTCAAAAACAACAAACACAAAAAGATTAGATTAACACGAAAGCATCATTGTGCTCAGAAAGCCATTGATGGCTGCACAGCTTAGGTGTGAGCCCTAGAACCGCCCTAGAGCAGCCCTGAAGGTACTTGGAGAATGCTAAATCCAGCTGCTAGCCTAAAGCAGTGGCATTCAGGAAGGCACACACACATACATGGATTACAAAATAAATATTTGTAAAAAAAAATGTATAAGAGAAAGTTTATTGATTTGCCTACACTTAAAATAAAAAGAATATCATGGGTCTTGGAGATGGCTGGGAGGTTAAAAGTATTGGTTGTGGGGGCTGGAGAGATGGCTCAGCGGTTAAGAGCATTGCCTGCTGTTCCAAAGGTCCTGAGTTCAACTCCCAGTAACCACATGGTGGCTCACAACCATCTGTAATAAGGTCTGGTGCCCTCTTCTGGCCTGCAGGCATACACACAGACAGAATATTGTATATATAATAAATAAATACTAAAAAGTTTTAAAAAAAGAAAAAACTATTGGTTGTGCTTCTAGGGGACCCAGGTTCAGTTCTCAGCACCCACATGGCCTCTCACAAACACCATGTAATTGTAATTGTACCTCCAGCTCCTGGGAATCCAGTGTTCTTCCTTCTGGCTTCTTCAGGTACCCAGTACATGGGAGGTATACAAACACACTGCCAGATCTCAGACAAACCTGTGACAAGTCTCAGTCTGGACCCGGACTGCCCCCAGCACTTCTCACCCTGCCCTCTATCCCAAACTCTGCAACCCAGGGACTCTCTTTCCTATGTAACTCAGTCATTTTGGCTGCACTCTCCTGGTGTTGCTTTTGGTCTCTTAGTTCCCATGTGCTCTTGGTGCTCTTGCGCCCTGCCCCACCTTTTTCTTTTCTCTTCTTTCCTCTTCTTCTCTCGCCCACCACCCCTTCCTTCCATGACCTGGTTCAGTCTGGACCTTCACAGCTATCTCTGGTTCTCTTCCATATTTGCAATAAAACCTTCTCCTCAGCCATGCCTAGGAGCAGTCATGTCCTCATCTTCATTCACACACACATATAAATAATAAGAGTGATGGGGGGTCATGGGGTTATTTATTGTTGTTGTTTTGGGGTTTTTTTGGGACAATGTTTCTCTGTATAACAGTCCTGGCTGTCCTGGAACTCCCTTTGTAGACCAGGCTGCCCTTTGAACTCATAGAGATCCACCTGCCTCTGTCTCCTGAGTTCTGAGATTAAAGGCATGTGCTACCACCACCCAGCTAAGAAAGATAGAAAGAAAGATAAGAGACTTATTGGCACCCAAGATGCATGAATTTCAAGTTGTCTGTCTCCCTTTCTTACCCGTCTCTGTGTCCAGATGCCCCTGGAAATCACTCGGAGCTTTATCCAGAACCGGGATGGTACTTACGAGCTGTTTAAATGCCCTAAAGTGGAAGTGGAGAGCATCGCGGAAACCTATGGTCGAATAGAGAAGCAACCAGTGCTGAGACCTTTGGAGCTGAAAACCTTCCTCAAAGTTGGTAAGTGACTTTAAGGAGCATCCCTCCCTTGAGGGTCACCCTTTCTCGGTGCTGCAGAGGCTCTGAATCTCCTCCTCAATCAAAGCTCACGCAGTCACTTCATCAGAGCCTGCAAAAAGGCTCTTGTCTCTTCTGTACTGGTGCTTCCTGTACTGCTAGCAGCTGGAATACATGAACCATGGGCAGATAATGAAAGAAGCGGTGAAGTCCCTGCAGCCCTCCCAACTCAAAGCAGCATCACAGTTACTTTCTTGTAAACCTCTCCAGAGTCTTACTGTGTCGCCCGGGCTGGTAATGAAAAAGGAAGGCTATGATTACCCCTAGGTGTGGTGCAGGAGAAGGTTTGTCCTAAATAAAAGGGAGAGCATAGCCAGAGGCAAGGACATCAGGGAGAGTCCAGAGTGAACAGGACTTTTAGCTGGGCCATGTCAGGGAAGCCAGGAGAGTAAAGGGTAAAGAAAGGGCTGGGTAACCAAAATGGCTGGGTTATATAGGGAAAGACAACTGAGGGAAGAGCAGCCTCGCCCCTGGACTGGAGACTGGTAGGAGATGGGGATGCCAGACAGGCCCTGTAATAGATAGGAACTGAGAGCCGATGAGAGAACCTGGCAGCCAGTCCGAGTTGATATGTTAAATAGGCACCTTAGCCATTTTTCCTTGGGTTTGAGACCTAACATAGACCAAGCTGGCTTTGAATGCAAGACCTGCGTGCCTCTGCCTCCTAGTGCTCAGATTAAAGATATATGATACCATGTCTTGCTAGACTGTTTACATTAAAAGTTTCTAAAACATGAACTCATACCTTAGCTGCTTTTCCCCTTGATCTTACACCACTCTCCATGTATATACTCAATGTTAGTTTTCAGTTTTTTCTTTACATATATGTATCTGTGTTTATGTGCATACATCTGCTACATGCATGTATGTGGAGATTAGGAGGAATCAGTTGTCTCCAGGAGGTTCTGGGCTTTGAACTCAAGTCATCTGGCTTAATGGAATATACCTTTACTTGCCAAGTCATTTCTATGGCCCATCTGAAAAAGAAATTATGTGTATGTATTTATATTTGTGTTTGTGTAAGTGTTTTCCTTGTGTGAATACCCATGGGTGTCAGAAGAGACTCCCTTTGAGCTGGAGTTACAGATGGTTGGAATCCACCCAGTGTGAGTGCTGGGAACTAAACTCAGATCTTCTGAAAGAGCTCTAACTATGGAGCCCATCTCTCCTGCCCGTAATATTAAATTTTTCAAAAGTAATCTTTAGCCTACACGTTTTATCACATGTAAATGTTTGATCCTCTGGAGTTTATTCTTGCATATGTTATTAATATGCCAACCATCTTCTATTTTCTTCCAGATGGTTATTGGCTGATGTCTAATATTTAATATAAAAAAATTTTACACCACACAGTGGTGGTGCATGCCTTTAATCCCAGCACACAGAGAGTCAGGCGGCTCTCTGTGAGTTCAAGGCCAGTCTGGTCTCCAGAGCAAGTTCCAGAACATTCAGAGATACAGAAAAACCTGTCTTGAAACCTCTCCCCCACAAAAAAAAAAAAAAAAGACCTTTTGTTTGTTTGTTTGTTTTTTGAGCCAGGGTTTCTCTGTTGCTTTTGGGGGCCTGTCCTTGAACTAGCTCTTGTAGACCAGGCTGGCCTCAAACTCACAGGGATCTGCCTATCTCTGCCTCCCAAGTGCTGGGATTAAAGGTATGTGCCACTACCACCTGGCAAGAAAGAAACTTTTACTAGGCCAGGTATGATGGTGCTCATTGTTAATCCTAGCATTCAGATGGCAGAGGCAGGCAGATCGGTGAGTTCCAGGCCAGCCAAGGTTACACAGACCCTGTCTCAAAAATAAAACATATTTCCATGTGTTTTTGTTACTGGTGGGAAATGCCATTGGTGTGTATAGACACTTATGCAATACCACAGTCTTTGTCATAGCGACAGTTTGGACCAGATGGTAGAACCATGCAAATTTAATTCTGTCTTTGAACTTGGCCCCCTCTTGCTAGTTTCTCTTCTCAGTCTGGCTCTGCTGTCACTGTGGATATTCTGTTTTATACCATAAACCCAGAAGTGGGCTTTTAAATTTATTTTGTGTGCCTGGGGGAGTGGGAGCCACCCGAGTGCTACATGTTTATTTACTTATTTAGGAAGAAGAGTGTGCATGTCACAGCAGGCATATAGAGAGGGGTCAGAGGGCAAACTGTGGGAGTTGGTTCTCTCCTACCATGAGGGTTCCAAGGCTTGAATTCGGGTATCGGGCTTGTTGGCAATCTCCTTGGCCTTCTGAGCAGCCTTGCTGGTCATTAGAACATTTTTGAGTAGTTACAGCAGCGCTGGTCTCTCTCCCAGTTCTTTTCCCTTTTCCTTTTCTTTTTTAATCCCGTGAAGGGTTTATTGTTTGTTTCGTTTTGTTTTTGTTACTTTCTTTACATTTAATATATTCGGGGTGGGGTAGAGAGCACTACTGAACAAAGACAACTTGCACCGTGTGGGTCCCAGGTGATTGACTCAGGCTCCCTGAAAAGTGCCTTTAACCGCACAGACACCTTGTTGGCCCTGTTCCATCTGTTCTGGTTGGGACAGGGTTTCAATATGTAACCCTTGCTGTCCTGGAACTTGCTTATGTAGACCAGGCTAGACCCCAGCTCACAAAGATCTGTTGGACCCAGCCATGATAAGCTTAATAGGAACAGACCATTCAAAGGAAGGCCTTAATGTTCCAGCCATTATCACCTGCCAGTGTAGGGCCCAGCCATGATAAGCTTAATAGAGGCCTGAGTCTCAGTAGTTTACCCTGAAGCAATACCTGGTTGCAGGAAGGCCCACAAACTGAGATTACTCAGGCACCACCCAAGCACAGACCATCCAAAAGAAATACCTAACGTTCCAACCATTGTAGATAGGATCACCTGCCCACACATATTCACCAGGACACCCGTAGACAAATGTCAGCCAATCAGGGGTCTTGAATCTTAGAAATCCTTCACTCCCACCTTTACTATTATAAAAACCCAACCCTAACTGAGCTCGGGGCTCTCCAATCACTCCAATATGTTGGAAATGCGGAAAGACCGAGTTTTGCAAACTTGTGTAGAATAAAGGCTCTTTGCTTTTACATACGGGACTCAATCTCCTTGTTGGTTTTTGGGGGACTTCGTGGATCTGGGCATAACAAGATCCACCTGTCTCTACCTCCAAAGACTGCTGGGATTAAAGTCGTGGGCCACTAATTTCTTATTTAAAGTTGAATAGAATAAACTATATCTGCTGGGCGGTGGTGGTGCACGCTACCCCACCAGCACTGGGGAGGCAGACGCAGGCGAATCTCTGTGAATTTGAGGCCAGCCTGGTCTCCAGAGCAAGTTCCAGGACAGTCAGGGCTACACAGAAAACCGTGTCTCAAAAAAAGAAAAAGAAAAACGTGTTACAAAACTCAGACTCCCGGCACGTGGGTTTCCGGGTTCCTCTTTTTACCCTGTCCATATTACTCTCCTCATGCAGACTGCTCCTTCTTCTGAATTTGCTAGTCAGTGTTAATCATGCTTTGCAGTCAGTACATGGGTGGATACAGGTGTGTGGGAGACTTTCAGAAAGACAGAGATTGGGGTTGTTTGTTCTGTGGTTGGTACAAGTTCCACCTGGGCACAAATGGGAGGGATAGGGTTTCTTCCTGTCTCCCCACACAGCCATCATTTGTGAATGCTGGTGTTGATAGCAGAGCCCAGTGGGGTGCCCTCCACCTCCATTCAGTGCCACCTGTCATATACTAACCCCCAGATGCCTCGGTCAACTTGTGCTCTCCTGATGACATTTACGTGAAGTCATAGCAGAAGTTCCTGACTCTGATGGGAGTGGTTCCTTCCTGGCCACTGTGAGAAGGAAACAGCTGACATGATGAAGGATGGGGCTCAGAAAGTCTGTCCTGGAATAAAATGAAGAGTGAGGTCCAAAAAATGTTATTAGCTTATGGAGCCATAATGCCGAGAGAAAAAGTATACCTATACGTATTACTGTTAGGGTCTTTGGTTTTTCTCACTTTTTTACATTTACATATGCTTAAAGGTTTATGTGTTCGGTTGCCATCAGAAGTTCCCTTGGAGCTGGATTTATAAGATGACTGAGAGCCGACCCACAGGTGTGGCTGTGAGGAGACAGGTCCTATGCAAACGCAGCAAACACTCACAGCCACCTCTCCAGCCCCTACTTACATAGTTTGCTTTTTGTTTTTTAACTTTTTACTTTTTCTCCTGAAAGGCTTCCTGTTTCATTTGCCTTCTACAGAGTGGACTTGAACTTGCAAGCCACATGCCTCAATCTCCCAAGAGTTGGGGTGTTGTGTGAAGTTTTACTCTTTTAAGAGTTTTTTTGGGGGACCTGCCACCCATTTCCCATAGAAGCTTACTCTTACTTCTAAATGCCCAGCCTTACCTTGTCTTGTTTCTGGCCAGCCTTTTTTAAGTTATCTCCTCTGCCTTTGCCTCTGGGCTTTTCCTTTTCTTACTTCTGTATGTCTTACTTTCACTCTGTGACTGGCTGTGTGGCCCCTAGGATCCTCTCTCCCAGATTTCTCCTTCTATTTATCCTCTCTGCCTGCCAACCCTGCCTGTCCTTGCTCCTGCCTCGCTATTGGCCATTCAGCTCTTTATTCTTAATTTTCTTGTTATAGTATGTCTCTGTGTGTGCATGCTTGCACATGCATGAAGGTGAAGGAGTTGTCCCTGTGCCACAGCTTGTATATGGAGCTCAGAGGACAACTGTGTGGAGCTGGTACTTATCCAACTTTATATAGGTTCAGGGGATTAGACTCAAGTTGCCAGGCTTATGCCCCAAGTGCCTTTACACTAACCATCTAACCAGTCCAGAGCCACAGTGAATATGAGGACATTCTGGGCTCTAGTAACACCCCGTCACAAAAACAAACCCAAAACAAAGGAATAGTTTTAATGGAAGTCAGGTGGACCCGTACTAATTGGCCTCCCTTTCTTCCTTTTGTAGGGAACACATCCCCCGATCAAAAGGAACCAACACCCTTTATCATTGAGTGGATCCCAGACATCCTCCCGCAATCCAAGATTGGTGAGCTTCGAATCAAGTTTGAGTATGGTCACCACCGGAATGGACACGTAGCTGACTACCAAGATCCAAGGCCACCCCTGGACCAGCCGTTGGAGCTGGCCCCTCTGACCACTATCACTTTCCCTTGAGGCAAATCAAGAGTTAATTTTGCGGAGTTTGCACATCCCCACCCCTGACCACTGTAAATCCTAGTAGCACTTAATATGGTCCCTGCTAATGAACTGCACTTAGCTGCGATGCAGTTGCTCAGAACAGCGATGGGGGTTGGCACTGCCGTGTCCAGTCTTCCTTTTAAACTGAGCACTTATTTCTGACCAGAGTTTTAAAAGCAGTGAAGTCCGGGTCATTGGCCTTCTCATGGATTCACCTGCAGCTCATTTTTCGGTAATTCTCTAAAAAGTCAGCAGCACTGGACTTTAGCCAACAGTGTGAAAAGGTAATGATGCCCTGGGCAGAGAGAATGCAAAGGATCCGCCTGAGAGCTCCAGTACTCTGTCCTGATGGCAAATAAAGTACAGTGTCGCTACTTTTTCTAAACGGTACCATTGCTGTTATGATCTTACAATCAGAAACCTTTGGTGAATTTACTTTGTAGTCAGACAGGGAAAAGTGGCTAGGGCCAAGGGATCAACAACACTTCACTTTTTTTTTTCCTTTAAATTTTTGAGCAGCTGAGCATTCAGGAGGCAGAGGTAGTCTCTGATTTTGAGACCTAGTTTCTATGATTTTGAGGTCTATATTAGTGAACCCCAGTACAGGCAGGACTACATAGTGAGACCCTGTTTCAAAAAAACAAAGAACAGGGGCTGGAGAGATGGCTCAGCGGTTAAGAGCATTGCCTGCTCTTCCAAAGGTCCTAAGTTCAATTTCCAGCAACCACATGGTGGCTCGCAACCATCTGTAATGAGGTCTGGTGTCCTTTTCTGACCTGCAGGCACATACACACAGATAGAATACTGTATACATAATAAATAAATATTTAAAAAAAAACAAACAACAGCTGATAAAATTCAAAACCTAGTTCTGAGTTCACTCATCACAGAAGGGAGATGGTGCAGGGAGATGGTGCAGGCAGGTGGACTTCCTTTCTAGAAGAGGAAACATTTCCTACATACCTGCCATGGCTTCTGCGTACACTTAAAACATGTCCGTTATTTTAAGTCTCACTTTCTCTAGAGTGTAGACATTACTCCTTGCAAAGCTCAGGAGCCTCATGGAAGCTACAGATCTGGCTCTACACAGCAGTAAAATTTTGTTTAGTTTACTTTGATGTATGCTTTCTACTTGAAATATTTATATTGCTTTGAAATGAAGGTTTTTTCTCTCATGTTTCGTCTACATATATGGAGTACCACGTGGGTGCCTAGTGCCCTGGGTAATCAGAAGAGGTTGTTGAAGCACCTACAACTGGAACTAGAGATGGTTGTGAGCCATCATGTAGGTGCTGAGAATCCATGTCCTCTGAAGAGCTGCCAATGCTCTTAGCCAGTCATGTCTCCAGCCCCTTGATATAAATGTATTACAGTTCATTGTCTGACCAATTGGAAGCCACAAGTAGACCTGATATGACAGAAACCCAGCTCCAGCCTGCTTAGGAAAAAAATAAAAATACAAGGAACTGTTTCTCTGGAGATAAGGCTGGACAAACACCTTGTGATGTGGGGTGCGACCAGGCCTTAAGGAGCCCTGAGCCAGGTTCCTCAGGCTGTCTCTATTCATGCTCAACTTGGGGCAGGCCTGTGGCTCTATCATTACAGCCTCCATTGTAAGGCTTGCTGCGCTGCAGCCTGTCAGACTTGAGTGTATAGGGCTCACTCAGGGATCTTAGCTGAATGCGTATTCTTTCCAGTCATAATGGGGCGCACCTTCGAGGGCAGCCTAGTCTACATAGGAAGTACCAGGCCGACCGAGGTGAGGCCCTCTCTGAAAGCCAAAGTATATGAGTAAGCTCCAGAGTAAGGGTCCAGAACCCGCATTTCTAGGAGGCACCCAGACATTGCATGAAGTGCTATGCTGAAAACTACTCTTAAAAAGACAAGGTCGATTCCTGACAGGGCACGTGACCTGCCTCCTGTCTTTCCCGGCTCCGACTTGGAGGTGGGGGTCCAGCAGCTATGGCTGCAGCCTGGCCTGTGCTCCTGTGAGCGACTCTACAAATGGCCTAGTTCGTGAAAAATCAACGCTGAGTTCCAATTCCTAAGACTGCATAGAGAAACAGCATGACGGGGGGGAACCGCTCATATTGCCAGATAGTACTTTCTGTTCCTGAGACACGATTTCAGTTGGTGGCAAAGGCTGAGCATGAGCATACAGTCTCCTGTCTTCATGTGTCCTGGTCCTCAAACTTCCCATGACTCGCAGCGCGACGCTGCCAAGCTGTTTAGCAGACCAAGTAAATCAGGGCATGAAGCCACGCTTCCGCCCTCACTGGCACAGGGGAGGCCGCGCAGCACGCGGTCCTGCGGCCCTGCGAGATGACGCCACCGCGCCGCCAACACGCCTCTCCCCCAGCCTCACCGCCGCTGTTATTCCACCAGGCGGCGCCGCAAGTTAATCACGCACCTCCTTGTGCGCAGCCGCGCTGGCGCTCAGGACACGTCACCACCTTCGCGTCCTTTCTGGAGAGCGCGGGAAGGAGGGCGCTGCGGGTGGTGACGTCTCCGGGGTTCCCCGCGAAGCTCGTGCGGGCGGGGCTGGGGACGTGGCGACGGCGGAGCTGGAGGGGAGGGGACGCGTGGGGCGGGGGATGGGTAAGGGAGATGGGCTTGGGGGAGTGGAAAGGACTGTGGGGGAAGGGGGAGCCTGTAGAAGGGGTCAAAGGAGGGAGAGGGGGTAGGAGAGGGCTCGAGACGGGAAGGGAGAGGTGAGAATCGAAAGTGGGGGATAGGGGAGAGTGGGGGAAGGAAGGAAGCGTGGAGGCGAGGGGGAGGGCCGGAGGAGTTGGGGAAGGGGATAGAAGGTTGAAAGGAGAGAAGGGAAGAGGAGGATCTGAGATTGAGCGTGGGAGAGGAAGAAGGGGGAGAGAGTGGGCGGGTTCTTAGAAGTCCTGCTCCCCCATCCCCACCCCGTCTTACTCCACCGACTCAGTCCTGAGGCCTCCAAGATGTGTCTGTGGCTCCTTCCTGCAGTGGACTTTTGGACAGTGCAGCCAGCCACTTCCGGCCTCCTTTAACCGGAGGACCGCCTCAGGACGTGGTTTAAGGTTCTGACCACCAGGTACTAGTGGCCTTGAGCAGGGCGCTGGGCACCCTGATCGGTACCTCACAGACTATGAAGTTTATTGTTCTGTCTTCCGTCTCTAAGGGCAGTCATTCCCCAATCTTAACCAAACTAAGGAAGGCTTTGTGTTCCTTTATGTTCCCCTGCCCCGGTTGTTAGAAGCTTCTCCCATTCCTGTGCGCCCCAAGGCCTCCTGATGATGAAAAGGTTAGAACGTGGAACCTGCTCAGAACTCAAAGTGTGTATCAGAGTTTATCCTACCACCAGCCTAATCCCTTGTCCTTAGGGGCATAGCACACCCAAGTGCCATGAGACATCCTTCCTGCCCTCGCAGAGTGCCCACCGTCTTTGACAGTGCCAAGGCAATGGTGAGAGGATGGCCTATCCCCTAGGGACAAGACAAGCCTTGGTAGCTTGAGCAAGGGCGGGCAGGCAGGGTCACACAGGACTGCCTCCTGGAAGGTGTTATGAGGCAACTTTTCCCCCACAATCCCTGGCTTTCAGAAAGTCAGAAGGTGAGAAGCTAAGGTCTGGGAACCATCCTCTTAGCTGAAAAAAGGGAATTCTCTCTCCTCTCAGCAAGAGCATAGTTGAGCTGTGGTTATGGAGACTTCTCCAGCTCTGTTGGTGAGTCTTCTCTGAGGTGAGAGGACCTCCTAGGGGTGTGAGGTAGCTGTGACCTTCACTCCTCTCTGGGCCACTCCTGTGTGTTGATTACTACAGGACCACTTTGGGTTTCAGATGAAAGCCAGCATTTGAGGTTTAAAAAAAAGAAAAGAAACAGAGGTAAGGCATCCCTCCCCGTTTCAGCAGGGGTGGCTAACGGAAGGGCTCCTGTATCAGAGTCCCTTATTCCTCGGGGTCTAGCAGGGCTCCCCCTTTCTGCTCCTACAAACCCCAGTGACAGTGCCCGTGAGGGACTCGCTCCATGCTCGATGCGAACAGCAGCTATGCGTAGGCCTTGCTGGAGATAAGAGAAAACTTCAGGCAGAAGGTTGGATTGGCACACAGTTTTCCCCCAGTTGTCTGGATTTGGGGACAGGATCTCACTATATAGCCCAAGCTAGCCTCAAACTTAGGGTCCTGCCTGAGCCTTCCCAGTGCTGGGATGACTTCCCCCTCAAGGAGAAGTTGGTAGAAATGTGGGGAAAAGAACAGACCAGGATAAGGCGGACAGCTGTATGTGTGTAGAGGTGGTGTTTCTTTGGAGCCCGAGCTTACAAGCAGAGGCCTCTTGAGATGGCCAGAAGCTTTCTGAGCCTGGGTGCTAGAACCTGTGAAGATGATAAGAGACCTTTCCCTCTGCCTTGCTGGAGAAGCAGGTTCTGTCCTGACTCAGTCATCATGAACCCTGCAGGCACAGGCCCTCAGCCACAGAGTCTGTTCATTTGTGTCCGAACTGCCTTGGGAGCTAGGGGTGTAGCTCAGTTGATGGAACGTTTGCCCAGTGTTCCACATAAACTGTGCATGGCGCCTCATACCTGTAATCCCAACATTGAGGAGGTAGAGGCAGGAGGATCAAAATCTGCCCCAGCTTTTTAGGCATTTCAGGGCCACCCTGGGCTATCGGTAATCCTACTTTAAAAAAAAAAAAATGATGAAGAGGGCTGGAAAGATGACTCAGCAGGTAAGAACACTGGCTGCTCTTGCAGAGGACCTGAATTCAGTTCCCAGAATCCATATGATGACTCAGAGCCATCTGCGTCTTTAATTCCAGGATTCTGACTCCTGATCTTCACGGCACTAGGCACACATGTGCACAGACATAAATGCAAGCAAAGCACTCGTCCACATGAGATTTTTTTTTTCAAATATTAAAATAAGAAGGAACCATGAAGAACCAAAGGGGGGTTTTCCCGAGAAGGACAGAAGGAAGTGCTACCAGGACTCGTGCTAATGGGACCTACCAGGGCTCTACCACAGGGACCTGAATGAGATCATTTCCTTGGCCTGCTGGCTCCTGTGGCAAGAAAGAGGAGCTCCAGTCCTCTGTGCTCAGTGTGTCAGCGGCCGGCAGTGTTTAGTTTGCACACCCTCGACTCTGTGAACTCACTAAGTAGATACTTTCTCACCTTGGACCAGCCTGAAATATCACAGCCACGTCTGGGCCCTTCAAATCAGCATAGGCCGGGGAGCTGTGGCAAAGGGCAGAGAGGAGAAGAAAGAGGCCTCCCACAGCAAGCTAACTAGTGTCTACTGTCAGCCTCTGGCAGACACTTCAAGGAAAGTGATATCAGTACAAGGCAGAGAGTAGGAAACTCTAGATGAAGGCACAGGCTGGCTCCTGGGTCAGGGAGGGGAGCTGGAGTGGGGCAGGGGGGTGACTGCAGATGGACACAGTATCCGGAGGTTAAAGGGACTGTTGCCACCACACTGGGAAGGCTGCCACTGGAACTGATACAGACCTGTGGTCATCTGAGCTCTCGGCTGCTAAGTGCATGGAAAGACATGGCTGAGCGGGAGAGGGAAGTGGCAGTCCCCAGCGAGAGGAACCGGCGTCCTCACTCAGCCATTTGTGTAACCTTTATTGACTCAGGCCCTGGGCTGGGCTTTGGCTAGGAAGCCCTGTTCCCAAAATGTCTCCGTCCTTGTGAGGAGAGAGCTAGAAGAGCCTATGAGAATAAGATGCAGTGTGTCAGAGGGTGACAGGGCTATTGAGAAAGTCAGACAATGTGGGGAGCAGGAGGAAGTGGAGCGGCAGTTCCTTTTCCATTGTTTTTAGAGCAGGATGTGGGCCTTAGTGGTCGGTAGGACTGCACAAAAAGGCAACACTGGGGAAGCCCTCGGTCTCTGATTGGAGATACACATTTGAGTCTACCCCCTTTCCAGCCACCGTGTTTTCTGATTAAACTGACCATGACAGCTCGTGAGTGATCTCTGCTATGGAGGCTGGCCAGGAGGAACCCTGAGTTTGAGATCAGCATCGGCAACAGTAGTGGACAAAGGCGGTAGCCCAGTTGGTAAGAGTGCTTGCTTAGCATGCACAAAACCCTGCATTAGTCCCCCAGCACCCATAAACTGTACCCAGTGGCACACACCTGTCATCCCCCAGCTGAGAAGGTAGAAGCAGAAGGATCAGAAGTTCAAGGACATCTTCGTAATTATCTCAGGGCTAGCTTAAAGAAAATTCATCAACATTTCTAACCCTGTTCCTTTGAAATATGGATCTTCTAGCCAGCAGGGAACCTCTGCCTTTCTCTGCAGTGCTAGAGACGGAGCCAGGGTTTGTGCACGCACTGTACGTACCCTACCGCTCAACTACCTCCCCGGCTACACATACAACCACAGTCCCAAGCTCCTGGTTCTGCAACTCCGTATGGGTGGGCATGATGATCCGGTCATATTATCTTCCAGTCTTTCAAAGGTTCAGGAAGTCAGGGGTGTGAATGGGCACTGAGAAGGGACAGCTCCCACATACCTTACAGCAGCCCCACAAGCCGCAGGCCATGTGCAGGAGAGAAGGGTACTGGCACACACTCGGCTCCTGTGATTTTTATTTCAACTTTTAGGTGAATTTTGTGTGAGTAAATATGGAAGCAAAGAAGTTTCATGGCTTTTTTTGAGGTGGGGAGCTGACCGTATTGTCTCTGGAGATAAATTTATAAGGATGACTCACTGAGGAAATAATAAGCCAGGATCTCCAACTAGAGCGCATTCCCTGAAAGCTAGGTGTGGTGACTGGAAAACGGAATTTCATGCTGTGTGTAAACACGACAGCGAGAGTGAGTGTTACCTTGTGGGCTGTGGCAAAGCGGGCAGAAGAGCAACGGAAGCACATCCTCAGCTACTGTTCCTGCCCAGGATGTGGGGCTGGGACATGGATGAAGGAGGCCACCACTGAGACGGTGACTCTGCGGCCCGGGAACCAGTGCTTCCTCGGCAGGCTCTCCGCAGCCTGTGCCTGGAAGGCTGTCTCACCTCCCCTACCTCGTCTGTACACACTGAGGACGTAAAGGTTTGTGGACAAAGCAGGAAAGATCAAATATGGTATAATGTAAATCTTACCGTCAACAGATCCTATGACTAAGCTGGGTGCCCTACCCAGCATCTGGTGTCTACACTAACCTGTACGACATCTGAACTGTGATCCCAGATGCTCTTTGAAGCTGAGGGGATAGGGAATGAACATGGACAACATGTGGAGAGCTGTCTGCTGCTCCCCCTACTTGATAACTTACATTTTTGGGGTCCTCTACCCACCCGAAGAATGGGTCAACACACTGACCTCCTGTCAGAAGAGAAGCTGGACGGTGGCGTCCTAGCCAACTCCACTGAGCTATTCCTCTGCATTTTTCTAGCTCTTCTGCCATGAAGTTCTGGCTTCCTCTTGTGCACAAGACTTGAACTCATCTCTCTTGATCCTTCAGGCTCAGAAATTGTATAAAGAGCGGCTGCTGGGTCCTTCCCTTAGTAAATTAGTTGATGATACCCTAATGTAAACAGGATTCTCCCTGATTGCTTCCGCTGCACAGAGAGCTCCCTGGGAATCCCACAAGAAGATGTGTAGGGAACTGGGAAGTGTGCCTGTCCCCAACCACAGTAACATGTAGTCTGAGAACCAGAGCACATCTTCAGGGAGGCCAGTGCTTTAAAATACATGCCTGGGCAACACTCATGAGAGACCACCAAAGCAACCATACTTATCTAAACTGGCAGCTGTCTTGATAACACACTACTGACCTGATGACTACCATGGTCTACTTCTTCCCACTAGCACTGCCTTAATTCCGTTGCTGCATCCTTGCTTAGCTGGTCTTCCTGCATCCACTTTTCCCTTACCATAACTGTTTATGCTGTAAATTTGGGGGTGTTATGATTTGAGCCCGTGGTCTTAAATCTTTAAGACATACATTTTACTAATGAGATGCATGTTTCAGGTGCTGTTCCCTTGCTTAAACCCCTTCGGTGGGGCCAGGGCAGTTGAAGTACTCTCCCAGCATGCATGAAGCCCTGGGTCTCATCCCCAGCACTGGAGCTGGAGGCAGAAGGATCAGAAGTTCAAGGTCATCCTTCACTACTTAGTTTGAGGCCAGTCTGAGTGACAGGAGACTG